AACCAATTGCATGACCTGATTTATGTTTAAAAAGAACTCTGGCTGCTCCATGGGCAATGAAATGTTGTGGGGCGGTGAGAAGCAGGGAGATCACTTAAAGTGCCAATTGCAGTAATTTAGATAAGACTGATGGTAGGTTGGAACAGAGTGGTAATTGGACATGATGAGAAGTGGTTTGATTCTGGACATATTTTGAGGGTAAAGCCAATGGGATCTGGGAGTCATCAGAAACCTTTGAGAACATCTTTTAAGGACTATTCCAAGTATGGGCCCCGAGCCTAATAACCTTTCTTGGAAAGCCCTCTCTTGGTGTCCCCAGAATAATAGAACCCATCACCGTGGAATGAAGCCTTAGCCACGTGTTGGGGCACTGTGCCAGTTTTCCCTCTGTCCTGTGGTTCTGGGCCCCCTCTCTACGATGTGGGGAGCAGCAGGGAATGAGCACTGCAAGCTTCTCTATTTCCCCTCAATATTTCCCTCAGGATGCCACCAGGAACAATGCTCCAATTCCTATTGCTTCAGTGAGAACCACCCCAAAACTTAGTGGCATAAAACAGTACTATGCTCTTGGATTCTGCAGGTCAATAACTCAGACAGGGCAACATGAGGATGGGTTGTCTGTGTCTGGGTATCAGCTGGGAAAACTCAATGGCTGGGGGAGCTGAAATCATCTGGAGGTGTCCTCACTCACATTCTGGTGTTTAGGACTGGTTGTTGGCTGGGACCTCCACTGGCAGTTGGCCAGCACATCTGCACAGAGCCTCTGCCTATGGTGTGTCTGTGGGCCACACTGTGGCTTACAATGGTGTGTATGCTCACGCACAAGACCTGGACCTGCAGCAGCCACCTTGTAAGGAAAGGAGATTCTGAAAAGAAGGTCTGAACACAAGATGGCAAAGTTGAGAAATGAACAGAACCACAGAATTAATCTGGAGTACTCTACCTCCAACTTCCTGTTCAGTGAAATAAAATACATTTTCTGTATGGTTTAAACCAGGTTGAACTGAGGTTTTCTGTTAATGCTGTTAAAGGTGGTAACTGATACAAGTCTCCTAATCAGCCACTTCTCTGGTGGGCTGCACACTCCTGGGAAGGGAATAAGGCCGGAGTCACCACCAGGAACAACTAAAATCCTGCTGCCAGCAAACAGCTGCTGCCTCAAGAGCCGCAGCTAGGTTCAGGGTCCAGGGCTCTGCATGAGCCTCTGAGCCAAAATACTTGGCACCTTCATCTGTAAAGGCAAGGAATCCATTCTTTGTAATCATGAAGGATGTATGCCCAGGTAACTTGGTGGCAAACAAAAAAACAAAAAATGCCCTATGGAGGGGATGGATGAAAAGGTGAAGGGATTTAGAAGTACAAATTATTTATAGCATAGTCATGGGGGTATGAAGTACAGCATAGGGAATATAGTCAATAATATTCCAATAACTAAGTATGGCGTCAGATGGGTATGAGATTTTTCAGGATGCTCACTTAGTACGTTTTATAACATCTAATCCCTGAAACTAATATAATATTGTATGTCAACTGTAATTGAAAAATTAAAAAATTGTTTCTAAAAATAAATAAAGAAGAGAGAGAAGAGAAGGGAAGGGAAGGAAAGGGAAGGGGAAAGAAAAGACCCTAAAGGGGAGAAAACCCTTCAGAGGTGGCTCTATCGCTGGCTCCGACCCCAACCCCGAAGAAGCTGCCTTCCTTTAGCCTATGAGTGATGAGAGCAGATGCCATCAGCCCCGACACATCCCTAGGACCTTCCAGTGCACTCCGGCCAACCTCAGACTGCCAGTCTGTTGGCCTGTGCCTGGGGCTTTCCCCCCAGAACTGTGCAAAGTCTCTCAGCTCACATGCAAGGAAGTTTCAGAAGTGCCAGGAATGAACACCCCCAGGAACAGCGCTCAACAGGTGCTCCTGGCATTTGTGTCAATGCCTAGCTCTCTCGCCCTCGGGGGAAACAGTATGAGGCGGATGTCTAACTGCCTGCCAGAGCTCCTCACAGGACCAAGCTGTTTGCCAGCTGTGATGGCTGGTGTAATAACCCATCCTTGTTGACTGCTTTCCTTCCCTGTGTCCCTTTCCTACTGGTGACATTGGCCCCTCCCAAATCAATTTCCTGTGCTCAGATCTCTACTTCTGGGGGAGCCCAAACTAGGGCAGTGATCCTAGGGGTGTGTTTAGGGGATGTGGGAAAGGAAGTGAACACGGAAATCCCTGAGGGATGCAGTAACAATCTAGCCACTATTGGGAATCGCTGGAGGCATGAAACAGAAGCTTCTGACAAAGGCCAACTGGGAGATGAGCCTCTTAAGTTTTCAAAGCCCACTGGTTGCTCATGAGTGCCCAGCTGGTGAGGACACCATTAATGTGGTTCTGATTGGATTCCAATCCCAGCAGCACCCTTGGGTGGCATTTCCTATGGACCATCCACTCATCCACTCAGCCCTCTCTCCCTGCAGCTGAGGGAACCTCTCAGCAGTGATCAGCATCAAGAATGGATCCTCTTTTGTTCTTATCCATTCAATGTGTTTATTTTCAAGATTGCATTTGTGGAAAGCATTTAAACAGCGCCATTTAGAAGAAAACAAAAGTCACCAGATGGAAAAATAGAATAAAAAACATGCACACACAAAAAGTTCCCCAAGCAATCTAGGCAGGGCAGCAGGAGTTATTGTCGTCCTGCTGTTGTGGAATAATGCAGCTGTGTTGGAAAAGCGATCAGCTTTTGACAGCCTAGAATTTTCAAGAGAGAACTGAACACAGGTCAACAGAATTCTGTGCTGCAATTCACTTCTTAAGGAAGTTTGACAAACCCACCTTCTTCCCTCTAGTAAGGAAAGAAGAGCAGTTATTAGGGTTACCATATATATTGAATTATAAAGGACACACAACTTTTTGGAATAATACCTTCCAGTTGGCCCATATCTTATTGGGACAAGCCTTATTCTCAAGAGCCCAAGAAACAACCTTTGCCACAGGCTGGCTTCAAAGCCAGACAGATATGAAAGCAAGAGAGATGGCAGCTGCTTCTGAGGCTGAGACCAAGACCACCTCCTGCCCCTTCAGGAAATCAAGAGAACCAAACTGCCTCCCCCTCTCCTCTAGCCCAACACCAAACAAACACAATTTTTGCCTACACTAGGGGTTTAAAAACTTCAGCAATACTCCTAGGGTGGCAGAAAGGCCAACTTTCACCCACAAGTAAGCCCTGGTCATTGCTTCTTCCTTGTTTTTCATTCTCCCAATGACCAGCCAGGGAGAAGAAAGGTGGCGGTGTGAAAGGGGGCTAGAGTCAGGACTGGTGTTCTGAGTCTTGTGAGGAGAAGTCTTAAAGTAAATTTTCTCTGGACTGATCTTGACTGCAGCCCTCACAGACAGCCACGCTGGCTAGGATGTGCCTGGGGCATTTCCCCATCTTTCCAGAAGAGGGAATCTGGTCACAGATGGCAGCAGCGGGATATTATGCAGCATGGCGGCCCTGGCAGCAGGAGGGGAATATTGGCCGTGTAGTCAGGCAGTCTCTACCCTGCCACTTATCAACTGTGTGACACTCAGTAATTTACTTAACCTCTCTGGCCCTCGCTTTCTCCATCTGTAAGAAGTAGCTCTGACCTCAGATACTCAACTTGAGGATTTGAAGAATATAAAAACACTAGTGCCTAACACATCATAAGCCAGTGGTTCTCAAACTTGGTTGGGATGAGGCCCAGAAATCAGGATTTTAAAAAGATTCCCAGGTGATTCTAATGTGCAGCCAAGGTTGAGAACCACTGTCAAAAGCTCTCTATAAATGGCAGTGCCTATTACTGCTGTGGGAGTATGGCTGTGGTTTCTAACACTGTGAGCAAGTATGAGCTAATAACAGCTGTTTCCACATTTGCCATTTTTAGGGGCTGTTAACATGATTGTAACAGTGGGTATTTGTGCAATGATGACTATTAGAGAACCCACCTGGAATTTCACATTAAGAAACCAGTCACAGGGAGTGACAAAATGGCGGCGGTATAGACGGATGTGTCCCGTGCCTGTCCAGGAGCAGATAGGGCAGTGGTCGGCAAACTCATTAGTCAACAGAGCCAAATATCAACAGTACTTCTTCAAAATAGACTCTCCCAGGCTGAAAACTGACTTCTGCGCATGGGCCACGAAGTTTCAATCGCACTGTACGCACGCCCGCATATGGTATTTTGTGGAAGAGCCACACTCAAGGGGCCAAAGAAGCCTCATGTGGCTCACAAGCCGCAGTTTGCCGACCACGGATAGAGAATCTGCTTCTAAGAGTTGAATCAATTGATGGAAGGGGCTGGGGGCTCAATTCTTTGCCACATGGGCTTTTCATAGGGCTTTTTGAATATCCTCATGACATAAGCAGTTGACTTCCCCCAGAGTGAGTGATCCAAGAGAAAGCAGGGCAGAACCCATCATGTCTTTTATGACCTAGCCTCAAATGTCACACACCATCATTTCCTCAATATCCTGTTGGTTACACAGGCATGCTTGATTAACTCATTGGCCATTGGCGATTGAGCTCGATCCTTAACACTCCCACTCCTCCCCAGAGGTTGGGGCGGGACTGAAAGTTCCAACCTCTAATCACTTCAACCTTCTCCCTCCTCAGAGAGCCTTGTCCTCTGTAAAATCTTTCTTGTGACTTTGTTGTTAATGAAACTGTGTGTGCTGGTTTTGCTCCAAGACTTGGAGTTCTGTCTGTTGGAGCCTTTTTTTTTTTTCTGCCTCTGGCTCCTGATCCTCATCAGACTGAATAAGCTGCTTCCCTGGGAAGCCCTCTCAATGGCATACGGGCCTCCCAGGTCCGAACCACCTACCCAGTGCCTAACATGCCATTCCTTCCTTAATGTGACTGGTTTCTTTAAGCCAGTCCCTTCGGACTCTCAGGGACTATTTAGGTTTTTTTTTAATCCTTTGTACCATTCAGGGTGGAATCTGGGTGTGGCTGTATTAATTGCCTGGATACTGGAGGGAGGGGCTGTCTCTTCAGGACAAAATGGCTGCCCAGGTCCCAGGCTCAGGCATGACTCAGCACCAAACTTGCTGCCACTTCTCCTGGACCCCCCTCGCTCCCCAGATTCCACAATTCCATACCTTCTCCCACACTCCAGCTACGGGTAAGTGTCTGTATCCAAAAGGTCCTATGCACTAGGCTCAATGAAGAAAGGCACAAGCCACAGAGGCCAGAGAGGCTGCACCTCCACGTGCTCCTCTCCTGCCAGCACTCTTCAGCCTTTACTGACTGTGGACCCAGAACTAGAATCCCCTGCCGACCAGCAGTTCTGCGTACCTTCTTTCCACTGTGCCTGTCCCAAGGGCCGTGGCTCAAGTCGGTGCTCTGTGGATTCCCTCTGACCCTCAGGGCTCAAAGGTCTGGCAGATTATCCTTCCCAGAGCCTTGGTTTTACCTTTCTCCAGGAGTCCTCTGCCTTTCCCGGCTGCAAACCGTCTCCCAGCTGAATCTCCTTTGCCAATTCGGGCTGGATGATACTCATTTCAGCTGCTCACCTTACTAGCTCATCAAGCCTTCAGATGATTGAAGCCCCATTACTCCTGCAACTGAGAAATTACAACATCTTGACTGTAATCTCAATGGATACCTCAAGAAAGAACCATCGGGTAAGCTGCTCCTGAATTTTTGACCCACATAAACTGTGAGATAATAAATGTTTGTCATTGTTTTAAGACCCTAAATTTGTTCTACAACAATAGATAACTAACACTTAGACATATTCAATTTCTAAATGATACAGAACCTAAGGGGTCGACTTGGCATGACCACAGTGACACCTGGATGATCATACTCTCCAGGTTGTCAGACTCCCATCCTTAGAGGCACAGCTTCCCTCCTCTTCTTGTCACCTCTTGCTGGATTTATGTGAAACACTCAGCACCCTTCCTATGGACCAGCCATGGGCAAACTACGGCCCGCGGGCCAGATCCGGCCCGTTTGAAATGAATAAAACTAAAAAAAAAAAGAGACCGTACCCTTTTATGTAATGATGTTTACTTTGAATTTATATTAGTTCACACAAACACTCCATCCATGCTTTTGTTCCGGCCCTCCGGTCCAGTTTAAGAACCCATTGTGGCCCTCGAGTCAAAAAGTTTGCCCACCCCTGGATTAGACACTGATGCTTGCTGTAATCAAAGAAGCAAGTCTACTTCGCTCCACTTGAGGATTGATCTCTGCCAGCTCTTTCTTCTCCCAATGTGCCCAGGTACAATTCCACACCACCTTACACTAAGGTATTCCCAGTCCCACCAACTATTACATAGGGGCCTACCAGTATTCTGGGCCATGGAAAGTGGGCTGCACATGTGAATTAGCTGGGAGCTGAGACAAGGAGTCCCTTAACCAAATGCCTCTCGTGGGCTATCCTCACTGGCCTCACTCATGGACAACTACACTTGTTCATTAAAACTGACACCTTCAGGACTCCTGCAACTGAGAAACTGAGCTGGAAAAGATAAAACTCCTCAAGTCTCTTCCTAGTGTTTCTATTGCAGCTGTCCTCCCCAGAGCTGTAGAAGTGTGTCCAGTCTGAGGGTTTGGATAGAAGTAGCGGGGGGGGGGGGGAGAAGAGCACATGATGGGGTGAAGGAGATCAATTAGCATTTTGAACATAAATTGTATGAAAAGGTTCTCCAGAGAAATAGAACCAATAGGACGAGACTTATTATAAGGAATTGGTTCATACAATTATGGGCCGAGAAGTCCCTTGATCTGCCATCTGCAAAGTGGATAGAAATTCCACTCTGAGTCCAAAGGCCTTGGAACCAGGAGCACAAATGGTGTACATCCCAGTCCAATGGCAGGAGAAGATTTCTATCTTGGCTCAAGCTGTCAGATAGAAGAGAAATTCCACCCTTCCTCCACCTTTTTGTCCTATTTGGGCCCTCAACAGGTTGGATGATGCCCACCTACATTGGCGGGGGCAATCTGCTTTACCTCGTCCAACAATTCAAATGCTAATCTCTTCTGAAAACACCCTCACAGACACACCAGAAGTCACGGTTAACCAGATATCTTGGCATCCTATGACACAGTCAAGTGGACACATAGAATTAACTGTCACATAAATAAAAGCTTGTTTATGGAGCACATGCCACTCCCTGCCTCACACCCAATGCCTTGGAGACAAGGACCTCTATACACACACTGTGCTGTTTTCTTCCCTTTTCAGTGCTTCTCTGCCGAATGACCTTTTCTCATCTTTATCTAGCTAAGTCCTGTTCGTACTTTAAGACTCAGTCTAAGCAACTCTCAAGGAGCAACTCTGGACGCCCCATGCTCTTGCCCACTATATGTTGCTCCCATGATATTCAGTCTTACATCACTGAATCTATATGTATCCATCTCCAGAGTACCTAGTACTCTGAGTGCTTCTTAGGACAGGAGCTTTGCGTACATCACTTCTGTATTCCCAATTCCTATCTAAATTCTAGAACAGTGCCTAGCAAATAGTAGGTGCTCGATAAATGTGTGTTGGGTGAAAAAATGCTTGAATAAATGAATGAATATGTAATATGCACTGCACAGTGGAAGACTATCATACCCACTTTTAGACCAGCCTCCATTTTATTACCTTAAGCTGTGACCAGTATCCTCAGGTGAGATTGGGGACTGCTCCCTAACCCTGTGGTTTCCTTCTCTTAAAGCTGATCTCTAAATCACTATACTCAGGAGCAGGAATTCCACATCACTGAATTTTTCTAACTCAAATAAATCTAGTTGAGTGGTGAGAAATCCAATCTCAGTCATATTTGGGGGTATCAAAGAATAATCTTCAAAATGCTAAAAATGTAATTTTCATGTAAATACATAAGGAGTATGTGTCGAAGGATTTACATAACTCATCAGTGAGGAAAGGCAGGATGAAAAAAAGCTGGTTAAAGAACAACACCCAAAAAATGATATATAGAGTCAGTGATCAAAGGAAACAGGAATAAAATTAGATACAATAATTGGTTAATGCCCTACCGAGCAGTAAAACCGTCACTCTTAGGGTTACCTTCTCTACCAAACACAAATATTTACATTTCAACCAGGCAAAAATAATTCATCTCCTTTCAGTTTTCTACAAGCTCACATCTACCATTATAGAGTCTGGGTCTTAACGACCTTAAGGAGTGTGCTTACCAAAATTACCTTCCCCTGGAGAAAGCAAGTGAATTGTATTCTGGAAATAATTCTACCAATTAAGTTAAAACGAGAGAGCATTATGGTGAAGCTCGGGGATTTATACATTTAAAACAAATGTGAAGATGAGACTAAGCTGGGTTTAGGCACAATGAGTATACTAGTATACAACCGGGAACATTCCAGGGCAATGTGCCCTGGTGAGCAAAGGACAACAAAGAAATTGTAACATAGATGCCAGTGCCAATGTGCATGCAAAAAAGAGAAGAAACAAAGACCTGATGCTTTCAGATGGTGATCTGATGGAAAAACTAACAAATAATTTGGGTAAATTCCCCAAAGGTGCCATGATAACGTATTAACTAAGGAGTTTGTTGGGAGTTTAGGATGCGTGCCCAGATCTCCCTCTGGGATGCTCTGCTAGGAGGACTGTCTAAGTGTGAAATAAAACTCTAAGTGTGAAATAAAAAGCTTTCTACTCTTCCCTCCACACCATTCCCCCAAACCTAAAAGGCAAGGCCTGCAGCATAGACCCACCGGCTCACGTGCACCTGGAGCCAGCAGGAGCTCAGAGGCCCCTGCCTCTTAAAGGAAGCCTTGCCTGCCTGCACTTTCCACATAGAAGTGAGAGATGCTGATGGGAGCTGAACTGAACTGGCTTAAATGACATTTCCTCACAGTTCTGGAGGTTGGGAGTCCCAGATCAAGGTGCCAGCAGATTCAATTCTTGGTGAAGGCCCTTTTCCTGACTTGCAGGTGGCAGACTTCTCATTGTGTCCGCACATGGTGAAGAGAAGAAGCTCGAATGTCTCTTCCTCTTCTTCAAAGGACATTAATCCCATCATGGTGACCCCACCCTCCTGACCTCATAGAAACCTATCACCTCCCAAAGGCCCCAGCTCCACATGGGCTTCAACGAATGAATTTTGAAGGACACAAACATTCAGCCCATAACAGCATCAGACCCCAAAGTTTTTTAATTAGGTCCTGTACTATACCCAGAGATTCCCAATGTTAACATTTTGTATCTAATCTCATTTTTAGAATTTTCCTGTTGTTGGATATTTAGGAAGATGCTTTCCATTTTCCTTATTAAAAAACCAAAAACCGCTGCAATGATTATTTCCATATGATAAATTCCTAAAAGCAGAGCCAGAGCAAAGGGGCATGCATGTCTTAAGGCTCCTGAAACATGTTGCCAAATTACTTCCCAGCATTGTTGGCCAGTACTTAAGAAAGGCTATCTTGGCACAGTTCACTCACACTGAATCTTACTGATGCAGCATTATTTTTACTTATAGAAAACCAGCACCTGTGAATTATAAAGTGTTCAAGTAGTCCAGAAATGTACATACCTCTGCTGTCAACTTTCAAGCCCTTTCCCCAGAGGGAGGTTAACCATGTTCCACATATTTTCCTTAACCCTCTCTTAGCCTTCCCCTAACCCTGTCTTAGTCAGTGCCTCCACTAACACTCGCCAACCCTGTGCCTCAGAGGGCTGGTGAGGATAATGACTCTCATTATATTCCAGACTCAGGCGTCCTCCAGCTGTTTATGGCTGGACTTTGCTAATTTTCGCTCTTCTTAGGCAGTTAAAAATTCTCTTTCTACCACGCATTTTCTTATTTGAACAGGATTTGACATCCCCTAGGTATCAGTCCTGGCTGAGAAACTAGAGAAAAGGAAGGTTAAGATGTGTTAACCCCATTAGATCTCTGACCACTAATGTGATCTGCTAGGTCTCACCCAAGCCCAATGGCTGGGACCGCATGTGAGAAGATGCCTGCTGCAAAGCCAGTCCCCTCTGGCTTCAGCAAAGTCTTTGCCTTTTGAAGTCTTTATCCCAGAAAAGATGCTCCATCTCCAGCCTAGACTAGTCCTCCTGGGCCTGGGGTACAGAGCAGAGAGAGGCCCTCTGCTGGTGCCCTATGAGTGCCACATGACTGGAGTAAGGGCTGTGGGTGGGGGTAGGGGTTTTCTAAATAGACCGGGACAAGAGCTGTCCACCATAACAGCCACTGGTTCTGCCTGCTAGGGTCCTCACCCTTGACAAATCCATCCTCCTGCACCCTCAGCAGATTATCATGGAGAGGAGAGGAAAGCTAGCAACCTGCTAGGTAGGTTGGGTCTATTCATTTTGGATGATACAGTCCTCAATAACCACTCTGGGATCACAAAGATGAATCCGACCCAGATGCTGCCCAGCAGAGGACAACCCTATGATAGGGTTCTTTTTAAAGCTCTTCCCCTTTAAATCATAGTTGCCATTGTACAAAGTCATGGTCAATAGCCAGAAATAAGCTCCATATAATGGAACAGTTTCTGTACATTGTAGCCCTTGCAGAGAGAACCCATCAGGCTATGCAAACTTCCCTGTGATACTTAAACAACCAACTCTATAGGAGGAAGCAAATGAGAAATGAACAGGAAGGGGCTTTGGGCATCTGTTCTGCTCCCTGTCCCAGCCCCTGACTCCTGGCTTCCGTCTCTGGCCCCTAAGCCCCAGGGTCCCCCCGATGCTGTGCTGTGGTGCTGCCCCAGGCCTGTCCACTGCAGAATGCTGCCATCCACGATTCCTCTATTCCAGTGGTTCTCAACCTTGGCTGCACAATAGAACCACCTGGGAATCTTTTTAAAATCCTGATTTCTGGGCCTCATCCTCCAGAAATTCTGTTTCTTTGTTACTAATGTTGTGGCCTCACCCCATAACAAAGAAACAGAATTTCCGGACGATGTATTGCTTGATGTATTTTCAAGCACTATGTTTTTCAAG